GGACACCTTGATATGGTGTAATAGTTAGCAAGCTTGTCTCGTTAGAATTAATTGTCATTGAGGGGTCTCATATTATCAGCCTCGTGCCACACCTAATCTACGCTTGGAAGACCACCAGATGAAACACGTACACACCTCAAATCTACAGTCATAGTAAAGAATGATATCAGATTAAAAAATCCATCCTCAAACTATATATATATATATATATATATATATATATATATATATATATATATATATATATATATATATATAAATTTATTAAAGACATTTTTTATGTTTAACGTTCTTTTTATAGATACAAGTATTTAAGTAAATGCTCTGTTTATGTCCGATAAATTTTCATAGAAAATATTCGTCCTTTCTATGAAAATTTCTCGGACATTCAGGCCGGTAAATGTTATTTTAATACTGTTTATTATAAACAGAGCATTTACTTAAATACTTGTATCCATAAAAAGAACGTTTAAACATAAAAATGTCTTTAATAAATAAATTGTCGGACTTTGTCCATTTCTTAATATATGACGTCATTTGTTTACATTTGATACGCCATGAGCAGTTATGAATGTACGAGATTCATGGAAGATTGAAGTTTATAAGCCGAACGATCCTTTGTGGCCGAGCGGTCAAGGAACGTCAGCGTAAATGACGATTCCGTATAGGATGCAGGTTCGAATCCTGTCAAAGGACGAATATTTTCTATGAATACTTCTTGGTCATTCAGGTCGGTAAGTTTGTCCATTTCTTAATATATATCTTATGCAGTTTTACATTAGAACATGCACATAGTCACTACAAAATTGTACATTTTTGTTTCAACGTCAAAAAAGAGAAAACCTTTTTTAGACGTCTCATCAGGTGGGGATTCAGGATGTTACTGATGAGACGTTTAAAAAAAATTCCTTTTTTTGACGTTGAAACAAAAATGTACATATTTTGTAGTGGATATGTGCATGTTCTAATGTAACACTGCATAAGATAAATATTTACGGTTCTACTTTGACTATTGAGCGCTGTTTTAAAATTAATGTTCTGAACGAGTAATCTTACTGTTCGTTCTCCTACACTATATATATATATATATATATATATATATATATATATATATATATATATATATATATATATACGGATAGAAATGTAAAAGGAAGACTGAAAACAGCTGCGCTTAAAAGACAACAAAAAAGTGCTCAATGCAAAATTTAAAATCGACTATGCAGAGCTAGGGTATTTAAGAAAAGGTTAAAATGACAACCAACCTCGCAACCCGGGTTTCTACCGTAAGGTCTCCTCAGGCAAGTGGAAAAAATGTACTAGTCAACTAAAACTACTCCAATATACCAAAACACCGGAAGTGAGAGGTTAAAGTATGGGGATGGAGTAACTTGGAAAGTGATATTAAGAGTTATAATATTAAAATCTTGGAGACGGAAAAAGGTGGAAGGGAAGAAAAGAAGAAATATAACTTCAGAAATAAAAGCAATTGTCTGTAGCATATGGAGTGCTGCACAGAATGCATCATTTTCACTGCTGAGGTCAGTGATAATAATGGTTTCAAGAAAACATACGTTGAATATACTGAGAGCCCTTCAAAAATAGATTTTACAATCATGCTTTGTCTTTTCGGTTGAAGAGCCATAGAAGTGGAACCAGCTTGCTGATTTTGTCTGTCAATACAGATCAAAGTGTCACAGAAGTCCTTTCAACATTTCCAAGACTCAAATTCTATACTAGGTATTCGCATGAACCCTTTTAATTCTAATTCCACACCACCAGACACACGATAGTGTCACCCCCTTCAACTACAACAAGTGACCCTTTATAGTGTCACATTTTCGTTATTTTCCCTAAAGCCTGTTTCATTATCCATTTAATTAAACTCACCGAGTATGTTATGCTCTGTTTTTCCTGTCACTCTTACCCTCAACCTGTCCTGTGTGTATCAGATTTTCCATGCCCTCATTCCTCATTATATGTCCCAGAAATTTCAGCTGTTTATCCCTTATGTTAAGTATAAGCTTATATTTGGTTTCCATTTACTCTAAAACCTTATCTTTGCTAACAGGTTTGGTCCATGGTGTCCTCAGCATCATTCTTTAGAATCACATTTCTGTTGCCTCAGGTCTTTTCCTCATCTTTGAGGAAAGTTTCAAGCATTTACTGTCACCTAGGAGTACGGATATCACGTTTAGAACTCTTTTTTAAGAAAGTTTTTCCTGGTTCTTTTACCTTTTGGAATGCATCTTTGGTCACCCCAACTCTTCTTCGGATTTCAGTGTCACACTTTTCGTCCTCTGTTAGAACATGTCCCATTTCAGAGGTTTGGTGAAGCCCAGAACCGACTCCTTGATTGTATGCTCCTAACATTCAATTAGGGGGTGGGGCTATAGGGCCTAGTACTGAGAAATGTAAGAATAAGAGATATCAAAACAGATGAAATAAACACTTGATTCAATATAAATATAAATCAACCTCATGTTGTAGAGTAAATTCCTACAGTGGAGGCTTGTATTTCAGCGAGTCGGTCCTAAAAGGTTCGACGTACAAAACGTTAGGAACTTGTTATAATAGTTAATGACGCAGCAATCTAGTTGTGGTGGTTGATACTTTAATGTCCGACATCGACTGACTCACCAACTCACTGAGCTCCCCTCTGGCGACTGCTACTATTACTACTTATTATATGTGGGAGAGTCTATTAACAATAGAATAGGTTTGTTTCAGTATAACACCTCATTTATTAAGTTATGCCTTATGTACAGTATTTAGATATAACAGAAGTTTTAATCCAGTCTCGTTTATCAAAATACGGATCAATGTTTATGCTAGTTTGTAGAACTGTAGGGCACTTGTACGACGAAGTTAACAGGGACAATTTCAATCTCACTCGTTTATTGGATGCCCTCACGGTATGGATGTCCGGGACTGTCGTACCTTCTGTCCTCTTTTGCACCCTACTGCTTTTCAGATATTTTTGTACTTTTTTGATTTTGGTATCACCAATTTTAATTTTGGGCTCATCCTTTTGCTAACGAACATTCATTTTGTCTTCTTGTAATTAGACTAATTTGAAACTGAGTTGGTTTTTCCTGCCTAAAACAACAGGCCATACCGGTCAATTTGCTGGATAACCCAATGGAAAAAGTCCAAAAATTTAAGGGAAAAATTCTTGACCGGGCCAGCCGGTTTATGCTTACTACTACCCGGCCATTACTACTTTAACTCTTTCTTTCCCATAACTTCCTCTATCTCATCTCTTCTCTCTTCCTTTCCCTCCCTTTATCAATCTAATATATCCGTCCGGTGTATTGTCTCTATATACTAAGGTGATTTTGATCTGAAGAGATGAATATTTCGGTATTCACGAAATAAATTATAATCGAAATGAATAATTAAAGTTTTCTTCTTATTATATATATATATATATATATATATATATATGACAATTGGAAAAAAATCTTACATTTTGCCAACGTGTTTCGTCTTCCGACTTTTTCAAGGCAAAAATGAAATCGAAATGTTTTTGTTGTTATAGTTACATTAAAAAAATCCAAATTTAAAAAGATAGACGCTTCTGTCTAAGCCTTTTTTTCTGGTTAATGTAAATTACTTTATAGTAAGGGATTATTATTATTTAAAAAAAAAAAATTTCCATGTCGACAATATAGTTAAATTCCCAGATTAATTCTGTAGACAAGACAGATTGGTATAAAATGGCAATTGGAAAAAATCTTAGATTTTGCCGACGCGTTTCCCAATTGTCATTTGAAGTCAATCTGTCTTGTCTACAGAATTCATCTGGGAATTTAACTATATTGTCGACATGGAAAAAAAAATAATAATATTTTGGACATATGTTTATATGGACATTTTATTTTGTTTCTGGCTGAGTGAATTGCGTTTTAGTGCGCTTTTTCTCAAAGAGAGTGCCAAACTAAACCTATTCTACCTTGCAGCCGACAAAATCAAACAGAAACAACGCGCATGCGCGAAATAAAAAATATAAACTGGCGACAATTTAACCATCACACTTGACTCGGTAAATCATTTATTTGTAAAATTATTGATTTCCTGTATCATAAATCAATGAACTTTTGTTAAAAAATAATGGAGAAGGGTTGAATTCTGTTTATCATTTTCAAAAATATCACCATGTACAAAAATTCCAAAATGATATATAAGTATAATAGTTCTATGATTCCCTGTAGATTCTAGAACTTTCTGGAAGCTTTTAGGACACTCTGGAGTCTTGTAGAACTCTCTGGAATCATCTGGAACTTGTTTCTGTTTATTTATAAGTTTGTATGTTATGCTGCAGCTATAAATTGGTAAATGCGCTTAGAATGCATGAGGACTATATATATGCAATTTATATATATATATGCAATTTATATATATATATGCAATTTATATATATATATTATTTATATATTATATATGCGTGGTACTTATTGGAAAGCGCTCAATATCAGTGATAAGCTAACATATTTGTCTGACGATCACAAATAGCGTGAAACCCAGGGTCACAAGTTCACATCAATCCAACTATATATATATATATATATATATATATATATATATATATATATATATATATATATATATATATATATATATATATATATTGGAATTGTCATAATCGTGTAACAGTAAAATTGTTGAATTGTTAGATGATGCTCTGAACCGTTCTATTTTAGAAATGATTACAGATATATGGTAAATGGTAAAAGAATACTGGAAAATTGTTCAATTGTTAGTTGAATCTCTGAACTAGTGTTTCTATAATGAAGAAAGGCACCTTTGGCTAATATCTGGAGTGTTTAATTGGGCCTAATGTTTCTGTATTGAAGAAATATCCCTTGTCTTCTATGGGTGGGCTTGATTTATTTTCCATCAAGTTCGGAAGGTCATTAGCTTGGCATTTTGTCTAATAACATAGCTTATCAATGTGGGTGATTGCTGGTCGACCAATGTGGGTGATTGCTGGTCGACCAATGTGGGTGATTGCTGGTCGACCAATGTGGGTGATTGCTGGTCGACCAATGTGGG